CTTGTGCACATAGATGTGAACGAGAAATCATGACCACTAGAACACACAGCCGGTGATTGAAAATTGTCGAAGATGTTGAGGGCTAAGGAGCGTCAGCCAGAAAAGACCCCACTAACCCCGCCAAACCACACCCCACCATCATCACGATCCTCCTCTGACGACACCAGTCACCTCAATTAACAATGACGCCCAACTCGAAGCCGACAAGACAGCCTTTCCGCGTTTTGGCTTTCAGCAAGACCTCTGGCTATCGACATGATTGCATCTCAGCTGCTGTCTCTGCCGTGAAGGCCCTGGGCGAGCGCACGAGACTCTTCACCGTCGATCGCAGCGAGGACGCCGAGGCCTCTATCAATCCTCGATCCCTAGCAACGTACGCGACTGTCGTGTTCCTTCACTGCACGGGAACGTTCCTCAATGTTGAACAACTCTCAGCTTTGAAAGGCCACGTGAACTCGGGCGGCGGATTCGTGGGGGTGCACGCCGCCGCCTCGGGATTGAGGGAGGATGAGTGGTATGGGAAGCTGGTCGGCGCGCATTTTGACCAGCATCCGCCGCCCGAGGAGGGCACCTGTGTCATTGAAGATCGGGGGCATTTCATAATGCGCCGTGGAGGCGGAAACCATCCGGCGGAGGCGTGCGACGATGTTCGGAAACAGTGGACGGACGAGTGGTATTACTTTCTGTCGCACCCTAGGGACAACGATAACCTCCACATCCTAGCTCGGGGCGATCCGACAAGCTTCAATGGCGGTTCCATGGGGGACGATCACCCGCTCGTATGGTGTCAAGAGTTCGAAGGTGGAAGGTCGTTCTATACGGCCCTAGGCCACTATGAAGAGGCGTACGAGGACGAATGGTTCGTTGGACAGATTCTCAGGGCCATTCTCTGGACTGCTCGTCATGAAGACGAAATGATCCCCACCATATGATGCCCTAATAGTGAGACGGAGGAGACACGCTTGGCACTGTTGGTCATGAATCAGTAAACATTACAGGGCGCGGGTATCTAAAGTAGGATTCTAAAGACGAGGCAGAATTAGAGGCACACACATTGTATGCAAACACGCGACTGACTAGCCCATCGTCCCATCGCCGGGCTCGCCGCTAAATCGGACCTCGATCCTGGACTCGAGAGATTCCGACCATATGTCAGACTGAAAGTCTGGTATATGAAGCAGGATGCCCAGTTCCTGACTCGTGTACCAACTGGCCCGGTCCAGGTTGCCTGAGCCCAGCAAGAGGAACTCCTTGTCAACGAGCGTCATCTTCAAGTGCGACACGACAGGCTCCTCTGGATCCCGCACCGCCGTCGCCTGCAGGTTCGGGCGGTAGTAGTAGATGTCGAGGCGGCCTGGCCGTTGCAAATGCGACTCGGCGTCTACCGATCGTTTCCGGCTCCACTCTGCGCAGGCTTGGGCGTATCGCTTGACGAGCGAATTGAGGGTCCATTCCGTCGTGGTGCAAGCCGTGACGAGTTGTTCGATTAACATCATGTTCTTGCTTGTTCTGATGCGGACGCTGACACCGCGACGAAGTGCGTCGAGGAGTGCATCGACGACTGCTCGGCAAGTTAGGTTCGGCGTCACGATGTCAATGTCGGTTCGGGCACAAGCGAACAAAGAAAGCAGAGCCGCATTGAGAGGTGTGGTAGGAGCGGTAGTGCGCCGCCAAACAGGAACGAAGCGGAAGGCCGGGTACCAGTGATGAGATGAGGGTAAGATCAGAGTCGGACAGGGCGGGAGACTTGCGAGGCTAAGCCGTCGATACGCGGTCTCTTCGTCCGAAGGTGGACCGCGAGATGGAACAGTTCGGCCAGTGTCTTGATCGACTTGACCGAGCCCCTGGTTCGCCTCACGACCACCGTCATCTTGGTCGTCGGGGATCTCTCGCGCGCCAGCGGCGGGCTCCCAGACATTGGTGTAGAATTTGACGAGTTGAGCAACGGCTGCACCCTCGAACCCAATACAGCCTTCGAACCACGTCTCCCAGCTCACGTTACAGCTGGGCATCCAAGCGCGCTGGCGGTCGACAATGACAAACTTTGGATGCATGACGCTGAAGGGCAAGAAAAATAGGCTCTTGACGGTGAGATCGATGCGGGCGGCCCTGAGGATGCTGTCTGGGGGCAATCCGAGCTTTGGCCATGCTGAGGTTGGGTACGCGTATCCGTCTCGCGACCACGGATGGAATATCTTCTGGAAGAAGCTGCGCGACGAAAAACAGATGCGGACGCGTAATGGGGTGACGGCATCTTGGCCGGTCGTTTCGATGGCTTCTCTGCGTCGCTCGGCAAGGAGTTCCAGGGTTTCTTTGATGGCACTCAAGGTATCGGACGGAGCCCAGAAGCACGTAACCAAAATCACCTCGTGTTTCGCAACAAGTATAGCCGGGAGAAGAGCGTTTCTGTAGATGCTGACGCCGTTGCCGACGGTGAGAGACTTGGGGCTACATGTTGTCACCAAGCTCTCGGGATGAGAAACGTGGTAGTTTGGGAAGTCGTTGAGCTGCTCCCCACGACTCGATTTCAGAGAGTGAATCCAATGGTCGAGAAAGGCCGAGGGGAAAGAGTGTGATGTCATTTCCAGCTTGGTGATTGGCAGTGAGGCTGAAGGTTGGGGTTTGTGAGCATCAGGGGTGCAGGTTCTAACTTCCGAGCTCTCGAATCCCATACGACGTTGGATGGATGACTGATGATAGAGGCAACTGGACTGAAGGCCAAAATGTCGTCATGCCACTACAGTGGAGGAGGATCCCTTCGTCACTAAGAGTTACCACAGTGCTGCCGCCTCTTTGTTGTCGGTATCTTGTCGCCGCAGGCTTCACAGGCTCGTAGCAAACGTATACGGTATAGCTAGTGAAAGACGCGGCTGTCAGTGGCGTGTTTGGGATGGTAGACGCGCTAAGATGTGAGTGCTGCGATACGCCTGAGGTCAAAATGGCATGGGCCTCCGTGGCCTCGTCATTGGGGAATCGTTTATGCCACTCGTGAGTTTCCAAACATCAGCGCAGGGCAGATGGAATGGCGTGGAGAAGGGTTAGGCATGGGAGTCTCTGCCGGACCGCCGGCCTGATCCCAGCAGCAGTGGACCGAAATTGTCGAAAGATTGAGGCGCAGTCGCGGGAAACTTCAGCGATGCAGCGACTCTCCCAGTGCGTGATGACTGAGACGGTGAGACTGTACTGGCTTTGGCGCTGGCACTGGGTCACTGCCCAGTGCCTACTGGCAGACAGACGGGCGCCCCATGTTGCTGCATTGTTTGGTGTCCCGTCGGTGACAGAGGCCGGGCGCCGATGGTAAGGTCAGGCTGGGGATTACGTTGGCACTGCTGGAAAGTTGCGAGTGGAGGGATCTGCAGCGCTAATACGAGCACAGAAAGCGACATGTCCCAGACAGACGATCCGCTAAGCGGCAATGCATGAGATAAAGCACCCCCAGAGTTCCAGTCGACGGCGAGCCCAGGGATCTATCACCTGGGAACGATTGGTGACGGGACTGAAACGGTCGCCATCAGAACGGCCAAGTTAAAACGGAGGAAGCATCTCATTTCCCATACAATCGACGTGGTCTCGAAGTCGATCAACGAAAGACAATGAAGCAACAGTTGGGCAGTAGGCTATCTCGAATATCTACATGCTTCGACACCGAGGCATCTGATATCGGATAGTGATAGTTCATGCATGTGGTTGTGGACTGTTAGTAGGCTAGTGATGCTGTTCAACCACTGCCGTCCGTCAATGTATTGAGCTTCATCGGCAATGAGATTGAAAGACATTCAGTCGTCGGGGTCAGAAACACTGTGAGAGACTGATTCGTCAAAACGCATAATGCACATGGCTTGGGTGGTTGGCAATTTCCTCTACACAGTAGGTACGACAACCGGGACAGCCCGGGATCATCCCCCGTGAACAGCTGTCCAGCTCGTGTCAAGTGATCTAGGGCGAGAACAAAGTTTGGATAAGGCCCGGTGTAAATCAAAGGAAGACGTGGACAGATGGTCGGCGTAGGCGGTTTGAAGCAACATGGAAACGGCGTCTTGGATGGTGTCAGCCCAATCCTTCACATGAGGCGAGGCAACAACGCTGAGCACGGCCGAATGATCCAATGCGGCGACACAAGCGCCAAGAGTAGAAAGAGAAGGGCAGCTTGTCAGGGCCATGCACTTGCTGTCATCGATTTCATCTTGAGAGCGTTGTCCTTTCATTCGTGAGACCACAGAGCCGCATCCGCGGGGGGGATGACCAATGGGCAGAGTGTGGGGTTCGGCTTGCACTTGAAGGCCGTGGTAACTTTATGATGCACATCTGCCGGGCAGACTGCGACGTGTCGAGGGTAGGTAGGGATACTTGCGCATGTTGCTCGCTGCGTGGGCTACTCGAGTCGATCACACGAGGTCGAGTTATCCTCAAGCAATCAATGGCCATCTGCCATCTGCCATTTGCAATATTCGTATGGATGAGTCGAACGGTGCCACTCGCTCCTGTGTATCAAGTCATATCGAGTAAGGAAGGTAGTTTAATGTGAGGCCAGCGTCAACCTTCCGAGAGTGACACAAGGCACTACAAATCGTACCTAGAGAGTTTTGAAAAACTGTTGAGTGAGTGTGAAGCGGATAATATCGGAGGCGAGAGCTGGCTTTTCAAGTTCCTGCCGCAATGCGTACTGCCTAACGCTGAATGTTAGTCGCAATGGTGAGCCAAAGTCAAGCCCTCTCCAGCTTGACCTAGGAAGCTCAGGAATTGTCTAGTCTGTCGATTCCAAACTTCCATCTAGCGTGTCTTAAGCCAACGTCACTTGTGATCTTTTGACTATGTTGGACAAAATACGGACACGGCGAAAGCGGAAGCCAGGGAAAAAGAGGAAGCTGAGCCCGGACAAGACCTCCGATGTGTCCGCTTGTTTGCCAGTTGGACCCTCATCGTAACGCTGCAGAAAACAGTGGATCTCCAAGGGAGGAACAGGAGACTGGTGTGGTCCCACCCAGTCCCCAACGACCCCGTCACGCCCGTCTCGATTTAGCACAGCCTTTACTCCGTGTGGGTGGTGGCACGGTGTGTGGATGAGATCTTGGTCGTGTTCCTGGATCCCAGCTCACTGATGGTGTGGACAGCGGGACATCTTGAGACTGACTGGCTGGCAGGTCACTGGTCTCAAACCGGTAGGGGAGAGGAGCGACAAGCGGGGCGGATGATTGGACGGAGGCAACAAGCGGCGCGAAAGAAAAGCCAGCGCTAGGGTTGGCCAACACTTTTGACGGAAGAGCGCGGGATATACGTAGATAGCGCATTATTTGTATGAGTGGTGTTGAATCGACGTGTCCCGCGACACGATGCCGAAAATGTGGCCAACGCGGCAGCCGATCAAAGACCGGAAGAGACCCCAATTGTAACGGCAAGTGTGTGAGACTGTGAGGAGTGGTGCCGGCCCACGAGGGACGGAGATGTGGGCTCTGGAGAAAGGTATGGAGAAACCAAACATGTCGGGAAACGGCAAAGGCGTTTTTTGTAGATACCATTGGCCCAACGGCTTGGTCTCGACTGGCATCGACCCAGGCTTGAGGCAGGAATCAAGAAGGGCGGCTTGGACGGTTATAATTCGTTGACATTATTCCTGGGGCGCTCCGGGGAGGCTCTTGAGATCGGCTACCTTACGGTGCAGGTAGGTATCCGTAGGTATGTAGTCGATTGCAGCAGGCTCGTTGAAATAGTTGGCGGATAGCCAATGGCAATTGTCCCCTGAAATGTCGAATGGGTTGTGTGACTGGGTTCATCTGGCAATATGGGCGCTTCCTGGGCCGATGAGGGGACGGAAAAATTCACCAGATAGAGAATTTCGCAGGCAATATGGCATCTTGGTCGACACCAAGTCCGAGTCGTTGACAAACAATTCCAGAGACAAGAGTGGCAAGATGCTGCCGGGTTGAGGCACGTGGCTTGCCCGGTCCAGACCCTTTTCCTCCTGCCTCGCAGTCACAATGGATCGTTCTTGCCTGCCCCGATACTGTGACGTTGTCTCGGGAAGCAATTGGGCTGAGCGAACCGGCAGGAAGGACGATACCGTAAAAGGGCCGCACCTGCCTCTAGCCTGCCTGCCTGGCTGATCATGCTCTTTCGCAGCTTGTCCAGAGTTGACAGTGAGGTGAGTACCTTCCATATAACCCTAAGGTACTACCTATATAGAGGAGGGCAAGCACGTAGGTAGGGTACCTTAGGTACTTACTGGCCAGCCCCTCCTCCCTCGAATTTCATGCCTCCACTAGCCAAGTTGGTGAGAGTGACACGCAATTCGAGACCTCCCCACATTGGACCCCCCTTGACTCCCTTCATATTAAACCAATGGCTCTTGGAGTTTAGGACTTTGGTGAGGGGGACTATTACGGAGCAGAAAAATACTTGATTGCACCGTCCCACGAGTTACCTAGGCAGACTATCGTAAATATCCATACGGATAAATCATAATTGCCTCCACCACCTCGTGCCGCACTGCAGCCAGCTGCAATCGCTCTCCCCGCCGGGCTCCATTACCAGGTAAGGTAGCGTGCAACAGGAATGCGATTGGGACAGATTGGTACTGAACTGCAGATTCGAGGGTGCGGGTTGCAGGTGCCAACCAGCCTGGCGGTGGCTAACGCCATCTCCAGGTCTCCAACAGCCAACAAACCGCCGAGAAAACCTGCAATCCTGTGGTTCGAAGACGGGGTGTGCATTAGTGAATGCACCTGCCACGATCCAGGCCCTGCTCTACTATGGTAGGTAGGTACTCGACTGCTCGTGCTACCTTGATCTGTCCCAATCCAGCAAGGTTGCTGCAGAAGTGAGAAAACACTTTCCATGCTCGATGTGCAGATTACTCCGGCCAAGCTATTTTCATTGCTAACACGACTGGTGAACCATTGTCAAAAGGCAAGTACATCTCAAAGGCACGTTTCCTTGGCTGCAAAAGTCTCGTGTCTAGGTAGCCTTCCCAACTTCAAGTGGTTTCCAGTGTCCCTTCCGCATGGCCATGGTCTGGTCACTCTGGAAGGTACCTAGGTACGTATCGATGATACCCCGCCTCAAATCTCTTTCCATTCTCGAACCTGAGATAGTGGGGCCACTTCCCACCCGACCCCCTCGCCCCTCGGCGGTTGAGTGTGGTCCCTTCCATTTCGAATTTCTGGTCCACCCTTGCAACCATAATCCCCAGCGGTTTACCATGTTTTTTCGTGTCCCAAATTCCCAGTCGCAAGGAACGTACGGAGCATGCATGGCTGAATGGGAAAGGGACTGAACAACTGGGAAACGAGTACTTAGTATACGGATACTTAACAGGTAGTCGTGGCAATGTGCTGTTTCCCTGTGCGAATGAAGAAAAAAATAAGTGCACTTGGGTGCTAGCTTCGGCATGGCACGGGAAAGAAGGGGGCCTCAACATACTGTAGGTAGATGCTGTGGTCTGAAATCACCGCTTATTCACGGAAACCTCGAATCTCAAAGGTATCTGTACTAACAAAAACCCGAGATACGTTGTCAAAACTCTGATTTAGAATACGGACGTGTCCCTTTGCCTGTGGTTGAAGGTTGAACACCGACCTTGCCGTGACGTCCAGTCTCGTGCTCTCCGCTCTCGATATGCCAGTGGTCCCTTTCTTCCTTGTGCCCTCCTGCCTTCTTCCCCCAAGCTTTCCAGACCTTCCCTTCCCTCCCGGGGAGTGACACCCGACCACCCCACTCGATACGTACCTGCATGCCTTAGCTCACGCCTTAGCTCGGCTCCAAAACCCACCTCCCGCAACAGAAGTTCAGTAAAACCGCCCACCACACACACACACACACACACACACACACATACGAAGGTACCGTGGCACTCCACTAGAACATTGAGACGCACATCAGGACAGTTACGGATTTCCTGCCACGGATACCTTACCTTGCCTCGACCTGCTCCTGCCTCCAAATCTGCACAGTATTCCTGTGAGACTGCCAATTAACCTTCTGCATAGCCCGCACCTGCCTCTCAGTTGTTGTCGAGTTGGTCTACGTGTGTGAGGTACCAAACTGAACTGTGACCACGAGTACCCAAGGTGCGTCCATGGAACGGTGGATTACCCCCGTACAACAAACCGTACGGAGACTACCTTATTGATCCATACATCGATTCCACCGTTAGGTCCTCCTCCAAGTCCTCGTCCCGTTTTGTGAAATCATCTTCTACCACCATACTCCGTGCCTACCTTACCTTATCCCTCGACCAATATCCGTACGGATACAGTTCCCTCCACACACCCCCTTCCACCCCTTCCACGGTCCTCCTTCTTCACCTGCTTCTTCCGCTTGACGGCACATCTCTCCAATCCCTGCTCCTTGCATTATCAACCGTGTGTGATATCTTTTTGCCACTGCTCCCTTTCCACCTCTCTCTTTCTCTTTACATCTGCTCCCAAGACCTCGTCTTGCGCTCACCTTCTCAAACCAATCCATCTTCCGTCTTTCGTCATCCACCACTCACTCGCTCGCTCGCTCAACACATCTCCCACCTGAACGATTCTCGCAACGACTTCTGCCAACTTCTCCCATTCGTCATCCTTTCTCTACACCAACCCGTTGAATGCTGGCATCGACCGAAACTACCTTCAACTTGTCACCCTAATCCCCCCGTCGACCGTCGAGTGTCCTATTTCCCCCTTAAATCGACATCTCCCACCCTCGCAGAGCTTTCCGACGATCCTTCCCAGAGCACCATATTGTTACCGCCAACATGAACTTCACCAAGAAATTCGACCGCGCCTTCCAATGGGCCGGCGAAAAGATGGGATCCGAGTCCAAGACCGGACAGACTGACGAATTCAAAAACTTGGAAATGGAGATGCAATTGCGATACGACGGTATGCCGGGCCTCTTAAGTCACAACCGCTTTTAGTCAACCAGGCGTTAATGTTGTTTTGCGCTAGGAATGGAACGACTTCAAAAATCCACAAACACCTATGTCAAATGGGTTGCCCGCCGTGGTGAGGCTTTCGACGACAAGGAGAAGGGCCTCCCTATCGCTTTTGTTGGGCGTATGATGATTTCCCACGGCGAGGAATTCGAGCCCGACTCTGAATTTGGAGCCTGTCTGCTCTGTAAGTTGATCAATCTCGCATACTAGGCTCTATTTTGCGAAGCACTGCTAATCATGCAATCCACAGCTCTCGGTCGAACCAACGAACGCCTTGCTGGTATCCAGGAAAGCTATGCTTCAGAAGTTACCGATAACTGGCTTGTCTCGGTCGAAAGATCTTTGGCAATGATGAAAGAGTATCAGGTACGTACCGACGTCATGGCTCGTCCATACGTGGTTTCAGCCCATCCCATCTGACACACTCTCCGCCAGGCCGCACGGAAGAAGCTCGAGTCGCGCCGATTGGCCTACGATGCAGCAATCAGCAAAATGCAAAAGACGAAGCGCGAAGATTTCCGCCTCGAGGAAGAGCTCCGTACTGCCCGGGCAAAGTACGAGGAAGCTGGTGAAGACGTCATGCGACGCATGTCCGATATCAAGGATGCAGAGACTGACAATGTTCGCGACCTGACTGGCTTACTCGACGCCGAGCTGAACTACCACGAACGCTGCGCCGAGGAGCTTCGCCGTCTGCGTCAGAATTGGGCGGGCGGCAATGCGCCTCCCTCGCCCACCGATCGCCGTTATGGAAACGGCGGTCGTGGGCGGTCCAACACGGCCCGCTCGTTCAACGACTATTCGGCGCGCAACAATCACGTTGAGGAGGAACCAGAACCGATGCCCGTCCGCATGCCCATCCGCTCCCAACGATCAGAGGTCAAGTTTGGCGCGTCGGCCGACACAACCCCGAGGCCGTCTATCAGTAGGTCTCAGACGTTCCAGGGGCCAGCTGCGACCGACCGACGATCCATGGCTGCTACCCCGCCAGTGCCTGCCGTTTCTCACATTGGATCTTTGCGTGGGAATCTGAGGCCTACCGGTAGACCAATGGCGAGCGACGTGTTTGCCGACGATGACCACACGACGGTAAGCGGTAGCGGCAGCCCGGAATGGAATGATCGCAGTGCCAGCCCGGCCACCAGCATGGGAAGCAGCTTGACTCGGAGCACAAGCAACCTGCAAGCAAAGAAAGCACCTCCACCTCCTCCCCCAAGCCGAGCCAAGAAGCCGGCGCCCCCAGTCCCCGCTAAGCGGGAGGTTGGGTACTAGATATACACCGCGTTTTGAGATTTTTCTGTCGAAGACGGCAGTGGGCGGGCGTAGCGATGTGCGAAATTGTTGTCTTGGGTCTAAATGCATCAATAGACTGTTCATTCCGTGACGGGATATAGGGGCTCCCGACAGGAGCAGGGCGTTTGGGCGTGTTAATATCCGTGGGCTGGATCCGCAACTATTGGTTCCCTCATCGCATAGCTTCTGAAAAGAAGAACGTATGGATTAGAGATGACCGGGTTCGACTCTCCAGATACTGAGTAAGCATGGATTCTGTTTTCCTGGCTGATGGTCACCAAGATTGTCAAAGTTTTCGCCATGAGTGACCTTCGCTCCGAGCCTTTCGGCATGAATTGCAACATGAGGCGGTACTTTAGAGTCCGACTTTGAGTACAACGGCCATACAAGAACTTCTCAACGCGACTGTGCAACGGCGTAGAGGATCAGAACTAATATTCGAAGTAGCCATCAGGCCCCAAAGGCAAGCCTGGGTTGTGAAATCGAAGAAGACTTCCTACATCGGCGACGGTCGTTTGCTCACGGTATGTATTCATATCCGCGTTGGGGGCCATTATCCTAGTGGATACCTACTCCCTATGGCTACCTTCCTTAGAATTCAGGTAGGTTTTTTCACGATACTGGGGGCTAAGATACCTCACCAGCCACATTTTGTCCCGCATCGACAGGGGAGAAAAAAAAACCTTGCGCCACATCACGTGCGCTGGCTGTGGCCCGAGCTGTCTTTTGCCTGAGGTGAGCAGATCCCATGGGCCCGCCTGTGGTGCCAGGGCAGCTCAGCTTATCGGCCAGCATCGATAAGGTCTCTGGGCTTTCGTCCATTCCATCCCAGGCAGGCTCTCTTTCCTACAGTTTGATCTGAGGGTTGTGATGTTGGATCAATCAACCAACTCCCCCTCTGTTATTGGACAGAAGACAACAGCACCTCCCCTAAGCAATTCTCCTGCGTAGCGATCGCTCCGTCTACACTGCGCCAACATCCACCTCGTTCATCTCGCGACCATAGTTAAAAGCACTCTCAACCGGTTGCTCACAACCTGCCAGCTTGCCGCGATGGCAACCGAAGATGCGCGATACCGACTTTCGACACAGTATCGACTGTGGTCGTTCTCCCCAGCCAAACTAGCGGAATTACGAGAACAGACCAATTCTCTGGCGAAGACAAATATTACCAGTCGCCTTGTGGAAACGAAACGCGTGGACCTTGATGCGGCCGAGTCGATGCCAGAGTTCTTGACACCTCCCGAGGAGACACAACTGCTCAAGTTCTTCACCGTGGAGTTGATTCGCGCTGCAGACTTCTGTGGGCTCCCGACAGAGGTTAGAGCGACTGCGACCGTTTTCCTCCGTCGATTTTACGTCACCAACTCCATCATGACGTACCCGCCTCAGGATATCCTCAAGACCTGTCTATTCTTCGGAAGCAAGGCTGAGGGACTGTACACCCGCCTGGCTAAGCTGGCTGATAAATTCCCCAACACGACTGAGGAGGAGATTCTGGCAGGGGAGTTCTTGCTGTGCCAAGGAGTTCGATTTGCCTTCGACGTCAGGCACCCGTTCCGCGCGTTGGAAGGAGCGATTCTGGAACTTCGGCGTCATGCCGACCTCGAGGTACGTTGTGATTCTCGCGTACTCACGCTGCACTTTTCCGCACTCTTCTAACGAACCGTACAGAAAAACCGAATCGATGCCGCTCATTTCCGTGCCCGCGCTTTCCTCAAGTTTAGCTCTCTCGTCACAGACGCGTACTTTCATTACACCCCGAGCCAGATCATGCTTGCCTCACTTTCTTTGGCTGATCGAGGTCTGGCCGAGAAACTCGTCCAAAGCGCCTTTGGACCCGCTCAAAACGGCACCTCGAACGAAGGCGAGAAAGACCTCGCCCGACACGACATACGGGATAAAGTCATGGGAACCATTGAGGCGTGTAGGGAGCTGCTAGCGACCGAGCCGCCCGAGAGATTGGACGAGTATTGGGGAACTGTATGTTGAGTTCAAAAGTCGCCCTACTTAGATCGCGGCGAGACTGACTAGGAGACAGGTCGAGGCGACGAAGGTGATTAAACCTCTGATCCGAAAACTGAAAAAGTGCAGAGACCCCGACCGCGCAGATCTTGTGGCCTTGCAAAAGGCTCGACGAGAGCTGGCTTCGCAGAAAGAGACGCGGATATCGAAAGGTGAAGGTGACGGGTCTGTATTCGACGGTAATGGCGGAGGACTCGGCGGTAATGAGGCGCGGGATGCGAAGCGACGAAAGGTTACGGAAGGCGACGACGTATTTGGCCCAGCACTGGGTTAAGTCTAGAGCATCCCATTGCTGTTTTCCTGCCTCGGATGGAATCATTTGCTTTCGCAAAGCAGAATTCGGGCGCAACAACGAATGCACCTAGCGGAGAGGTGTCGGCGGTGCACGCGGAGCCTCGCCAAGCTCACGGAGGATGACGGGAGAGACCGACTGTCCCGATTCGGCTTTACGAAGAGATACCCAATATTTTCCCCCACGACCCCTCGCGCTTCTTCCGATGGTGAACATCGTGGCGGTGCCCAGATTTGACAAATTCCCAACTCGAAACGCGCCAGCATGCGCCCCTCGCTTGCAACTTGATGGACAGTCGGGGAACAATCACCGAGAAGTGGCTCATTTAGACACCAGCGGAGGCCTCAACGGGTTCAACTCTGTTGCACTCTGGATGGTAGGGTAAGGACATGCATGGCTGGAGAAAGTGCAGCTGCCAAGCAACGGTTCCTAGGGAGAGAAATGCGCCATTGGCGCACTTTATGGAATAAGCGCCAAAATTGCGATCTGTCAAGTGAATCGATGACGCACCGTTTTCATGATACTATCGTCAATGGCTATAACGCAATGTGATGGAGTCGGCACAACCGGCCCTTAGAGCTCTTGGGTTCCAAGGAGCTTCACCCATGTCCGCTTGCTTGGCCACGCTTTCACCATGGCACTAAACCGATCGCGGATACGTGTCTTGGTGGATTTGGCGTCTAACCGGAGCACCTCGCCAACACCTGGCACACCATGGAGACGAGACACTACTTAGGGCGAAGCCAAGGGGGAAATGGGAATGGCCCGACTGGCCCTGCATTGGGGTCGACTATCCTTTTGGCTATTGCGGGGAAAGCGGCTGCAATGCTACACGAACCAGAACATCTCTTCCCCTTCTCATTCGAGTTTTGTCGCGTCTTGACAACACTCGTGCTAGCCAGGTATCGTCGATGAAAACATGGTGTTTGATGATCCCAGTCTAGGTTCAATGGCAGATTACGGGAACAATAAGCCAAACCATAAGACGGGCAAAAGAGCGTAACCCTTGAACATCTACAGGCTCGGTTTCGCGCGGTTCTTACGGATATACTCTATGTTCAAGGTAGCTATGACTTAAGGCAAGGATTGCCATGTTGGCAGCCCGCCGGCATGCATGCCAAGCAGGAATACCATCCAGCATTGCACGGCTCGTTGTTCGGCGCCATCGGAGTCTCTCCCGTCTTCAATGGCGCTAAGCGGCCTATCCTGACGACATCGACTTTTTTCTGTAGTCCCCCTCACCCAAGCTGTGCCAGTCGGGCGCAGGCTTACGCAACTTCCAAGACCCGACATGCTGTCAATGGCGTCCCAGACTCGGATATCCCAAGCTTCTCGCAGCTAGGTGGTTCCCTAGCATTCCGCGTTGTCTACTTAGCTTCGTGAAAAACCAGTCGGCAGAATGCTAATCTGACCGCAATGGGACTTGGAATCGCATGTTCGGACGGGAATTGCCTCTCGATCACCATCACGGGGTTCGTCTAGCACAAGCATAGCTAGCAGTCTAGGACTGCCGCTGCTAGCCATGGCTCTTGAAAGATCTTCGGACTTCTATGTAAGGCAACGAAGGTACTGGCAAGACCATTGCCTTGCCATGGTGTCGGGTCTCAATTAATGCTGAGCCAGTGCAAGTCCCCCCCCCCCCCCCCTTGGCGTATACGCCGGCCAAAAACGACTTCACGATCGGCTTGGCACCCAGCTGGCGATCCTGTTAAACAGCTCATTGGTCCTCTGCCAGCGTCGTGCTCTTTTGCGAGCTAAGGAGGCTTCTCCACCCCCTGGTCTGCGTGTCTGCCCCGGTCCAGTCCAAAGTCCCAGTCCCTGGCGCGGTCGTGATGTCGACCAAGACCCTTGTCTGGGGACAAGAAGCCCGGCAGGCCTCCTGGTTTCTTCACCCAGCCTGGGCAACAAGCTTGATTCGGCGCGATCTGGTAACCCACGACGACGCGATTGGTTTGATCACTCTTGGACTGAGCTCACCAAGGTGTTTTGCATGATTCGTGCCAACTCCCGATGAGGAGCTTTCACATTACTTTAAATGCTGCCACCTCCACCGCCGTATTTCGGTTCTCCAATATCGAGCAGTCCTAGTTAGTTGTAGCCTTGATACCCAACCCATTCGAATCACTAGAATCCGTTCCCTGTACGCAAAACAGCTACCATGCAGGTCAAAAATATTCTCCCTCTGGCTTTGGCCAGCGCTGTGCTCGCCCAGAGCCAACAAAGCTTGACGGCTGCTCTAGCCTCTCAGAATTCTAGCTTGTCTTCTCTCACAGGTAAGCGGCCACCAGTTCTACTCGAATGAGGCCCTCTAACGTTTCACAGCACTCCTGGGCACCCAGCCGGCTCTGGTCCAAGCCCTTTCTCAAGCACAGAACATCACCATCCTGGCACCTAGCAATGCCGCTCTCGAGGCATTCCTAGCAAGCCCCGGTGCCCAAGGTGCTGCGACTAACCCCGGCCTCGTCGCCGCGATTCTTCAGTACCACGTCCTGAACGGCACCTACTACGCCTCCCAGTTCACCGAAGAGCCGCAGTTCATCCCCACCCTGCTGTCCAACGAGACTTATTCCAACATCACCGGCGGTCAGCGCGTTCAGGCCCAGACTGTTGGCGGTAACGTCACTTTCTACTCTGCCTTGAGGGAAAACTCGACCGTCACGGCCGGCAATGTTAACTTCACCGCTGGTACCATCCACATCATCGACAAGGTCCTGAGCGTTCCCCAGCCGATTCCTGACACCCTTCGCGCTGCCAATCTCACTGCTGCTTTGGGTGCTGTCCAGGCCGCAAACGTCGGCCCCGCTCTTGCCGCCGCAAAGGATCTGACAATCTTCATCCCCAACAACGAGGCCTTCCGCTCCATCGGCAACCTCACCGCCAACCTGACCGCCGTGCTGCCCAGCATTCTTCAGTACCACGTCGTCGCCGGCGCCGTCTTGTACAGCCCCGATATCACGAACACTTCATTGACCACACTCAATGGAGGAAACGTCACCATCCGTGTCATCAATGAGACCGTTTACGTCAACGAGGCCGAGGTTCTCATTCCCAATGTCCTTGTAGCCAACGGTGTCGTCCACGTCATCGACAAGTAAGTTGTTGCAAATGAAGCAGACTTGTAACATTCTCACTGACTATCCTCAGCGTCTTGAACCCCAATAACACGTCCGTGGAGCCTGATACCACGGCTTCCACCCGCGCGCCCGCATACACTGGCGCTGGTACTGCTACCGATGGCAGCAACCCCTTCACCAGCGGCATCACCGGTCCCACTTCAACTGCTCCGCTTGCCACTGAGACTGGTGCCAACAACGGTGGTGGTGTCCGAACCACCTCCTCCAGCACTCAGGCCGGCCCCATGCGCACTGCTGCTGTTGGCGCTGCTGCCCTCTTTGGTGGTATGGCTGCTTACATGAACATCTAAATGTACTCATTATACGACAAAAGTTAAGTATGAGGCAAGGAAAGAGGGAGAGTTATGGAGAACTTTTGATTCGGTTGGAGAAGTCGTATCTCAATACTGCAAGTTGATACCAATGGGTTATAGCTCATGTTCGTTCGTTTGATCAACTATACCACAAAGCTTGTGAGGAAGGGTTTCTGCCATATTGGTGGAGGATTGTAATATCCTACGTAGGCGACAATTAATTCACTTCAATAAGCTATGTTCGGATGATTCACTTATTCTCAACCAGTCACCCAGAAAACAACATCAAGCTCTTGCCACAATTTTGTCAGCACGCCCCTCGCTGGAGATCTCCATCAATATCAGCAGTGAAATGGGTTACCTCATCAAGGAGTACACTTGACATGCGGGTAGCAGATTTTCTTCTTGATAGAGTGACACGGTGAATCACTGGCACGGTAGAGATCGGTTTTCGATTTACCGATGTTTGGTTTGTCATTTGACTCGGAAGCTGGAAGATCGCCCATTCGCTGAATTATTTCGGAACCGAAAACTCGGTACCGGTCATCGGAGCCGACAGAACCGATGTTTCATCCACAGCTAGCCCCATATCAGAAGTGACCCCGCGATCCAATGGAAGCGGGAAGAGACAGGTTTGATAATGACGAAGCAATAAAAGTGTGGCAGTAGTGTTCATCATGAGCCTCCATCTATTGATGAAAGAATGTCGAAATTCTATATTAGCGAGAAGACTCAGGATTCTTTTGGCTATTCAACTTACCATCGTACATTTCGAAGAGGCCCCAAAGCAATCAATTTCGATATGTCTTCTTTCCACATTGCGATTGCCGGTGCAACAGGCAATCTCGGACAATCATTCGATTTTCAAATCACTTCTTGACGCTGGATTCATTGTCACAGCCCTATTTCGACCTGGAGGCAATGCTTCTGCTTTGATCCACACTCAATCTCATCATCAAAGTAGTCGACGCCCTCACCTCCTCCGACTCACTCCACTCCAACCCGCTCTCCTTGGAATAGACATCATCATATCATGTGTTTCAACGCTAGCTATCCCATCGACTTCTGCAAGGCGACAGTACATCCGAGTACGGGGGAAGAACTTATTAGGCGTTATTCCGATTTATTTCTACTATATCCGCAAATCAAAAAATTCATATCTCGGAGAATTTAGAGAAAAGCTGGAGACTAATGTACTGTCGCCTTGTAGCAGTCGATGGGATAGGCAGCCAGAAACCCCTCATAGATGCTTTAGTTGCAGCTGGGGTGCGGAGATTCATCCAAGCAGAGTTTGGAATGGACTCTGCCAATGGTCTCTGAGCGCAGCTGCCCGTTTGCATAACCCTAACGACTGCCCCCCAACCCCGAATTTTCAATGACAGAACCTGCGGAACCTGGAGATCAATTACCCGAGCCAACCGTACATGATGGTCGTGAAGATGATAGAATCAATGATATAGAGGCTCTCTCTTAGATAGTAAGACTCAAAGGCTTTACTTCAAAACAACAGCCAGACAGCGAGACGCCGAAGCCAGTCGGCTCACCTTGGTACAAACGTGGAAGAAGTTCAAGTGCCACTGAAATGCCATCAGGTTACATGACGTAGTCAACAAAAGACGTTTGACTTGTTTTAGTACTACAACCCGAAACCGACGTTAGACTTTGTAATGTCCATTCAAGCTGGTAATGCGATCATTTGGAGCCAGTTGCTGACGTGTCAGATGTGTAAAGGCTGTTGCAGCTCCCAGCGCGAAAAAACGAGTACAAATCACTCGTCGCTATACTGCGATACGACCAGGATGATGAGAAAACCTGAAGTCACAAAGATTTGCTTGACGAAGATATGCATTTGCTACTAGGAAAGGATGAAGCGGCAGATGAAGCCCTAACTAAGGCTATTGACCGGCCCAAGTGTTGCTTTCAAGGTGAGCTTCGTGCGACAAGCCTCTAAGACAAGAGGGAGCGCCTCGAAAGACAATGGAGCGGAGAACGACGCGCATGCGTACTTTGTTTGCAGGGATTTCTGAGGAAGACTGAGTCAACTGGGATACTGTCACTGGCTGATCTAAGAATAGAAGGCTGTCGGTTATACTGACAATCAAACGAGAGGCCGGCTTGATTGGCGCAAGCCTGTCCCAGAAGCCGGCAAGTCTACACCGGTGCTGGCTCCCATTCTTTCGTTCCCAATTGGAAGTCTTGCCAACTTGAGAAAAGCCTCCTGTTCTTTTGCCTTGTCTGTTTTAGTCTCCTCTTCAACCCTTCTATCCCCAGCATCGTTGGAATGCTGTTGATCTTGGACCTGATTGATAGCTTGCTCGACACGGTCCCACCTTAGGCCATGTCGGCGAGCTTGTTCCTTCTTGATGTTCTCTTGTAGCTCATTTGAGGTATCCAGCTGAACGGTATACATGGGATTTCCGTTCTCGCCAGAAGACGGAGACATACCACCTGGCTTGTAAAGGGGAATAGACCGGCAGGCAGATACCAAAGCACAGTGGAATCTGTTGCTCCGCTGAGAGCGGAGTTTATCGTCTGACCAGTTGTTGCGATGGGTGAAGGCAATTCTCAGCTCCATTTTGTTGAGCTCATGAAGGCTTGCAACGTTCAACCCTAGTGTCTCTGGAACATAGTCTCTAGAGTTCTGGGCAAGAAACTCCTCCAGTATGCCTCGAAGACGCATGATATCCGTAAAACTGGTTCTGAAGTCCACGAACAAGGACAATCCTTGACGATTGATACCAGACCTCGTGTAGTTTTCGACTCGTTTTTGAGTGAGTTGTTCATTGGAGATTTGCAAATCGCAGTTGTTGTCAAGTCGTCTGAAGACCGTGTAGAGAAGAGACTGGCGTTTGACCGTACAGGCAATGCCTGTAGTTGCGCCAGCGTTACAGACGTTGATGACGTCGCCGATATCGTACGGGTGGTCGAAGAAAACAAAGACGATGCCAACAAGAAGATGATGGAATGTCCGTCCGACAGCGAATGAGAGACCAATAGCTAAAGAAGACAAGACACTCTGAATCTCCTTCATCGCTGGTACGTATGCAATCACTGTTCAAGTTGTCAGAGACATCTTTTGAGGGACGAACTGAGGGACTTACTAATGAAAAATATCATGACCGCGGCAATGATGAAGAGACAAAACCAGTCGAAAGTGTTAATGCAATGGTCCATGTTGTTGATGTTGCGGTATATGTCCTGGCGCGTTTTGCCTGCTTCCAGAATGATCGCCATGAACTCCTCAAGGCGGATGTCGTGATTTTGACCTTCGCTCAAGGTGGCAAAGATTTTGGTGGCTTCCGGCGTGCGGTGGGGACCAAGGATTTCTTTGATGTCATTCAGAGTCAAGCCAAACTTATCTTGAGCAACACACGAAAACCAGATCCGCCTTGCAAGTGCAGTCGCCGAGTCTTCATTTCCCCAAGCACGCTCTATGATAGCATAGGTACTTGCTGGACGCATCCAATGGGCATGAGGGTCATCGGAAACAAAATTTCCGAATAGTCCAACAAGCTTGTAGCCATCAAGGCCGAGTCGAGCAAGGTAGCTTGAAACCCTCATTCGCTCTTGTTTATGGCTTCCGCCGTTGGCATTGCGGATGATCATATCCTCGTCGTCGAATGTGCCACGATGGAAAGGATGAAGGTATATCGATGCGTCGTAAAGTGTGATAAGGGCGTTCTGGAGATCTTTCGTGCGAGTAAGCTTGGAGTGATTTGCTCGATAGTGATAATGTACGGAGATGTAGGATATCAATAGCTTCTCGACAAAATAGAAGGCCACCCAAAGAGTAGCCTGTTCCAAAATGTCGGCTACAACATCGTCCCACCCAAATGTGTTCGGATCCTTGTTGACATTTACAGCAAGGAGTTCATTTGTGTTGATACACTAGAATGACAACAATTACTAAAATCGCCACGGAAACTGCGTTTGAATGAATATGACTTACAGCAGCAAAGAAGATAAAGGTTACAATAGTCGTGCCTAGAAAGCAAATCGGGCGACGCATGAACTTCAAGATTCTCCAGTACCTCTGGTGGGAAGAGTTGATGTATCTAGGTGGATTCATTTTAAGCGCCTGGCCATAGATATCGTGGTATCTCGTGCACTGACCTAGCAAGAAACCTAAAGAGATATGGCAAGCCGAGTCCCAGAAGATCGAAGAAAACGGCTGCCACCCAGGTAACCTCTAGCCACAAGCTGATGTAGAAAACCAGGTTGCGGTATTGTTTGTCCTGGATTGATTGTGGAGTGGAGTCGTCGGCTAAGTCTGCATCATTGCTCAATGTAAGGAGAGGAATAAGGAATGCAATGAAGATGACGACGACAATTACACAGTATCGAACGGCCCACCAGACAAGACGTTTCCGGTGCTGAGCTACAACGATGGGTGGCAGAGGCAATGGTGGCGCGTCGATGTTCTCAGGGATCTGATGTCCCTCTGCCGCTGGCGAAGCCTTCGTTTCTACCCAATTCTTCATTGTGTGGTGCTCTGGGGAGGCTTGATCATATTGAGAGGGGAAAATGGGGGTTTGAGGATGTATAGCAGCCGTAAAGCTGGGGGAAGATGAGGGAGAAGCCAGAGGAAGCCGGGTATCTGAGGTCATACGTTCGACCTGCTCACTTGGAAGTGGCTTTCGATAGCTAGGAAGCAAGCTACCACCAGAACCAAACTCCATTTTGCTTATTCAATAAGTTCACGGATATCTGGCAACAGGAAATAAGGGAGATCCTCAACATTTATGAAGTGAAGGCCCCCCTTTTGTGAAATTTGTTTACCTGATCTTGGGCCCCTGGTGTTCATAGGGCTCAAATCAAAAGCCGAGACTATTCTAGTAAGAAGCTTAAAAGACAGTCTTGGCATGCTTCATATACAGCCACTGGCAAAATACGGCGAAGGAAGATTATGAAAGGGGCGCCGAGGTCGCCCTCCCGGAACACACACTCCCCACGTTTGTACTTCGCACTTGATCTGTGGATTGGTAGTGCTGACGAGCGCTGGTTAGCAGCGGGACCAAGGTCCTGCATCTCCACAGTTTGTAAGATAAAGTAGCCCCTCAATAGTGGAAGGAGTTTTAGTTAAGCGCGGCTGAAAGCTATGGATCAGCGAGGCTTCGTGCTAGTAAAACCGGGCTGAATTAGGGGCGGTTGATGGTTGCGGCTTAGGTAAATTCTCTCCACACTAGGCCTCACATGCACCTATTTTCAAAACGATTCCTTTCAGTCCTAGTCCATACACAACCTCTTGCTGTGATTATCCCCTCTTTGATATGTTCATGCCTTGTCATAGCCATGAGTCGAGCGGCAGCAGGGCGTTGTACGTACCCGTAATCCTAGACTACCAAATTTTCAAGTCTTGTTCTAGCGATAGTTAGGTAGCTGAATAGGGTTGGCAGCAGGTTAATGCCTAATAGGTGAGCCGAAAATAAAGGGCGCGTATCGTGCACGAAACACTCGACACGGATTCAATGGAATCTGGAATATCTCGACCTTCAAATCGCTTCAAGTCTTTCCAGGGATTCTCACTTGCACAACAATTGGAGGAGAATTCTATTTCGGCGAATGAGATGTCTCTAACTCTCAGAAGGATAGCTTGGAGTCGATCCATTCAAACTGTAGATACCTCCCTTAGTGCGCCCTCAAGGTAAGGTACTTACTTGGTATACGAATCATTCAGATGACTTGGAGTTGCCGCAAGTCTCCAGGCTCCATAGGCCTCGTCAGAGAATTTCAAGAGCCTAATCCAAGTGAAGCAACAAGCGGTAATGTCTGTATAGAAATCTAAGGCGAGGAGGAAAATATTAGAAACCGGGTTCTTACTAGGGCGTTGGAATAGATCCTTCGCCGGCCCGCTGCGGCAGAATATGGGTGCCAATCCGGATCCGACCCATCAGGGCTAGCCCGTAACGGCACCGATCTGAGCCGCACCTTGGATTTCTTGCTTGTGAAGTGGAACCATAGGTCTACGAGATTTCTTATCTTTCTGAGGCCCTCAAGGGCTGTGCGAGCTGAGTGTTCGTGTGGATGATCCTCTTGTTGAGGTGTTGTCCTCACGGAAAAATGACGTCCCCACTTGGTATCTCTTCATACGAAGCAGCTTTTGAACGTCATGAATCGAAAATCCAGTAAGCGCTCTGGTGCGAAAGCTGTTAGAGCTGCTTTCAAATCAAGTGTGTCGAATCGGCAAGGTGATTTCTCGTACATTGGGGATACTTGAGATATGCTGAAGAGGCTCAACCTCTTGCGCCGACGCAATATCATTTTGCAATTTGTACTAAGCCCTCTTACTAAGCAGTACTGAAAATTACTCCAGTCTAAGA